CATATCTACCTAGTAAGATGATCGTTTTTACACAGGTTCCTAGCCTGCGCTTTTAAGAATTAGAGAAGGCCACCTAGGTATTTCTGATGCTGATTGTTCTGCTAGTTTTTCTTGAACAAAAAGAGGACTTAAAGCGTGAAAATATGCTCTTTGTTGATCAATCCGTTAGAGCTGCGCAATACATTTGGCTCCATTAAACGTCGTTGAGATGGTTGAATTCTTGCTAGATATATCCAATGATTTGCGTAGCCTGCTTATACTTTAAGGCCATGTTTTTAATTCCGTATGTTCTTATTCTCTGTAATTTTATCCTCGCAGTTTAATTTAGTGCTAATCGACCTAAGGCGAGCGAACATCTTCGTGTACTCCGTACGGGGGATTGAACTGAAGATCACTCGTGTGCTGCAGATTACCTCTTACCATTAAGATACATATGCTCTCTTCTAACATGTCCAACGAATTACTCTAAAAATTGACGTTTTCTGCCACTTTCAATTCGGGAAATGATTTCATTTAGCACCGAAAAAAAGTGGAGTGCTTGCGAGAACTTGAGGCATGAATATTGGTTTAATTCTTATCCGATTTTATCCATCATGTGCGACTCTGATCAGCTGTTCTTCCTCGGTGCAAGACGTGTAATAAACGGCTCTGAAGAAGGCGAAATCCGCCGAAATGTCAGCTTTAGCGGAATAAAGAGTAAAGTAACACCTCGCGTTTGTTCAACAAGAAAACCGAGAACTATTTGATCAATGCTGAGGATCCACCACCGTCCCCGGCAGGGTCTCGCAATCTGAGAAGGAGTCCGGCCTTTCCATCAGGAAGCCTAAGAGTAGACCAATGCCAAGATCAACCACCGTCCTAGTATCAAAGTCGCATAGTGGCAAATCTCCCTCTGATCCACATGGACTGCGATTGTCTGTGGTGGTGAAGACCTGGAGCAGACTTTGGCCAGGCTGACCTCGGGATTGCAGGGAACCACAGTGGATTAACCCCAACAAATCTCCGAAAAATGGTGATTATGCTGGGGCCCGCACAACCCGCACAACTAGTGAGGATGTGTCGTTCAATTATCAAGTATCAAGTTATCCGTTTATGTAGAATCCAGTGACGCTTTTCCATTAGGATTCTTTCGACTCAATTTCGTTGGGAACATGAGTGCAAATCTGCTTTCAGAGTTCGTATTTATTTCTTTGGAAGGACATGTACTGTTCCCTCTCTCTTCGCCACTGAGCCCTGCGACTTCAGACGCGCTGGAAGTGGCACGGGCGGGCCACACAGACTTCATCGATCCTCCTCGCCCCTCAGTCAGCGAGCCGGCTGTCGTCATGATGCTCGCCATCTTTCCCGTACTCGTCGTTGCAAACGTTGTGGCCTTCGACCTCGAATCGGTGGGTAGTTGTGATTGACTAGAGCCTCAGCGAAAGAACACAAACACCTGATGTCATCACGTTATTTGGGCGTTACAACATCCTTGAAAAAAGAGGAACTTTCCAAAATGGCCACAAATTTTTCTTTCCCAACCTTCTATACTGTGTGATATGAGTATAGCTGTCATGTAGAGACCACATTTCATATAAGCTCTTATTCCGTTTTTAATAATTCGATGTCCAGAGTGAGTTCCTCACCTCCATTTTCTCGCTTTATATCCATATTTTTTTTGCACTTATGTCTATTTTTCACATGTCTCTTGCTTTATTCTACTAAGCATTTCTTATTTCCTATGCTGAATACGTTATCCATTGTTACCGTGGGTTGGATAGAAGTTGTTTCCTATGGAAATGAGGTGAGGTTGTCAGGGTGAGGAAGTGTATTCGAGAGGTGTAATCCTCCGATTTTCTCTATCTGCTAGTAGTTAGATCGGTACTTACTAGTAGTTATGAAGCCAGTGACGAAAGAGAGTAAAATAATCACCGCATCTGGAATTTCTCAATTTTTTAGAAAAGTCCTTAAAAACGAGAGTGTCTATAGCTGGATTGCAGATCCAAAATTTCTCCAAGAATCAACTAGCTTTTTAGCTGAAGTCATAGCTAACATGAAAATTATCGACACTCCCGTTCTATAAATTTTTCGGCATTTAAAAAAAAGGCGAAAACATTGCTATTCTACAATGATGCTAAGATATGTGCAACACTCGTGATCCCAGAGCGGCACACCGCTGTTATCCTTTCCTGGGTTCACGTGCTATTGGCCGAGCCAACCGAAGTTCTTGTTTTGCCTTTCTCTCAGGATGTTTTCCACGCTAACGGTGCTTCAGCAATCACCCGTTAACGGGGATGATCTAAGGAATAAAAGCCGGCACTGCTACTCTTTTTATCACTTAATTAACAAATTGGTTCGGCATTCTCATGAGGCGACGGCGAATATCACCTTGGTGGGGCTGTGACTCTCGTGACTTCCAACTTTCTTCAAATGTCGAGTAAATTCCTCCAACGACTTTTGTTCCGTACAAAAACTACATTGAGGGATTTCAATAGGCATAACGAACTAAGGACGGTTCAAATTTAAGGCCATAAATAAGCAAGTCGTCTTTTTTGAGCTGGGCCAATGTATTAAGAAACGGCTCTTGTAAACGAATTTGCTCATTAATTGTTTTTCCGATTTGTTTGTAGGCAAGGATTAAGGTATAGTCAATAAAGCAATTAAATATTACTCCAATCCAGTGCATGTTTCATCTGCATGCAGTCTGAAGAATGATAAAAAATTTGACCTTTACCATTACCCTTTTGTTTTCTGCCTACTATAATTTTTCGTGGCAGGGCCGTAATGTGAAGTACAACCAAGACGTTTCTGAGATATTCGCAAAACTTAGACCCCTGGTCAGATCGAACCACGATTACCCTTTCCAAGGGCTCACGTATTACTCAATGCACCACGAAGACCCTTGCTCTTTGCAAAATTTTAGTTTCTTCTGCTTGTCAGCAAAGAGTGGACTGAATTAGCAAAGTTGAAAGGGAGACTTTTCAGTAATATCGGGGACTAACAAATGTTTGGTTGAAAACAACGCTTTCTCAACTAAGAAGCGATGGAACGCAACCGCCGATGCGACCTCTTTAGATACTTAGATTTCTTTTTGGTGATATTTTCATACCAAACTATGGCTTTGTTATTGCCTTTTTTAAATGTTAGTTAAGCAGATTCGGCTTTACGAAGAACATAGAGGGCCCACTTTCATGTACTTTTTTTGTTAAAATACACGACAGTCTAGACAATGTTCACTGCGTTCGACGGTAGCACGAAACGTTTTTTTTTCATTGAAGTCACTCGTTTTCGTTGTTTCACATTTCTTCTGGGAACATCACGTTCTTAGTCGTTGAATCGAATCCATCGCATTTCCTCATGCTTGTAAGCGTTTCAACCCCACTTAGTTCTTTTAGCTCGATCCACTTCAGTATAGCCAATTTTTGTGTCGCATTCGGAGTACGGTATTAGGCCGAACGCTCGATAGCTGTGAGATGGACCCATTTGGGTAGTGAACCAAACGATGGTATTGTCGATATTTGCTGTTCTTCTGCAGCAGAAGCTGTCAATTCTTCAATCCCTTAGTTATTCATTGTTAAAAGAACATTATCGTCTTCTATAGAAAGAATAGAGGAAGCAACATTTCAAAGGAGTATTGAATATCATTGGGTATGCCTAACAATTCTTCTTATCTCAGCCGTTATTTCGAATTTGATATCCCATTTCGTGCAAAAACATTTCACTTAGAAGTTCACATCATCGTTTCGAGCTTACAAGTTGAATGACATTCTTATTTGGATACTTCGACTCATAAACTTGAATTACAGGAGTATAGAATCTCTGAACTTTAGTCATCGCCTCTGTTCCTTTGGAAGAATTGCAGAAAACGCTGTTTGGATTCCGTCTAGTTTCCATAAATGTTTTCCGACTTCTTATGGGATTGGCTCAGTTATGTATGCGTTCTTCCCTCATTCCCGTACAACGCATCCCAACCGCTGATGTTTTAAATTCAAATATTTTTTAAAAATGCTTTCTACCTGCGTCTTAGTTTTTAGCATTTGTGCAATGGTATGCATTAATATTAATGCGTATATGAGAAGTGTGAACCTTAAGGATAGATATTGATTCATCTCCCTTCTTACTAGTTATTTTAGTGCTCTAAGGTTCCTCCTATGCTTTTCGTTCTCAAGCAATAGCTGGTCCATGGAATATTGTGCGGACTATTGCCCAGGAAAAGCTATTTCCTAAAAAATACTCTGAGCTTTTGACAGTGAAGGTGTTTTGGCACGAGTTTGCGTAGAGTGTGTCCCGACTGAAGAGGGGACTAAGATCTCTTCTGCGCCGGAGATTGTTTCTGGCGAGGAGAGTGCTGAGATGTTTCGACAAAGACACACAGAGTGCGCCTTTATCTATGTGCTTTTCCCTTAGTGAATTTCTAGGAGTCATAGGTTCTCAATTCCATGCTGTTTAAATATGGGTAAAAATCAAATGTTGAAATGCATATACTTAACCTATGATGTGGAGCCGACTAGGAGGGAATGACTGGAAAGTGGTTCGAGCGTGGTGGAACTTTCCTCATTAAAACACGTCAGAAATGTTCTAAAGATATGGAAGGATATAGATATAAAGAAAAAACATGTGTAGATTATAAAGAAGAGATATAGTCTACGTTAAAAATCCCGTGTTATAGAGCACGACATCGAAAAGTGCTTGACCATTCCTAGGAGATTAAAACCATACGCATTGATTTAAATTCACAACAAATGTAATAACAAAATTAAGCTTTGTCATATTCGGCTGCAATGAAAGGCTAAGTATGATTCCGTGGATATTTTCTTTAAGTTTTCTTTACTGTCATTACTGTACCTATTACACCTATAAAAGAAGGTAATTTTTCATTTTTTTGTGGAATTAGACGACAAAAAATTTAGACATCAGCGTGTACGGCTTTTTCGATGATTCCAGTTGGACTAAACTGTAGAGATTAAGTCTTTGAAGCGTGGGTTTTGCTTCGTTGTAAGTGTTTCGTTCAGGCGGACGACATGGCGCTGTTGCCGTCGGGCGACTTCATCGATCTCATCTCGCGGGACGTGGAGAACGTGCCGAGCCCCATCGCCTTCGGCAGCAAGTACATCACCGGTCAGGGCTGCTCTCCTCCATGAATCCAATTCACCACTGGTAGCAAAAATACTTGATGAAATTGGAAAAAGTCAGACTAACTGAGAGGACACAACGACACGATAGCAAAAGAAAGCCTTTGAAACAAACTCACTCACCAGCAAATATAACTTGTAAGGGTTTTCTTCGGAAACGGTTACAGTAGAAATGCAAATGGCAAATCGTTAAATGAATTATCACTTCTAAAGCATGATGAATTATATAGTAGAAAGATTACTAGTTTTTCTGTCGACGAGCTGAAGCAAATTTCTGAAGTTGTGAAAGTAAAATCCTATGGAGAAGAATGTTAACCACCAGGAAAACTCACGATGCCAATATCAAAGCGTTCAGTAAAGCTAAGGATAAAGCTCTCGGCGTTGATCAATCCCTGAGGAATGCGCCATGCAGTCGACTTCACTAAGAATTGTTGGAGGTGATTGAATGCGTATCTAGCCTTTATAATGATTCGCGGTGGCCTACCAATGTATCGAGCCAGTGCTGCTATTCTCCCAGACAAGTCTGGTACCAATTTGCCGAACCCGGATGGATGAGAGGCTTGGTGGGCCATGGGCGCCATGATCGATTCCACGTGTGTGTCGAAGTGGCGCCTCCAACCACTGCGCCACAAGCTCCCAAAGAGTTCAGTTGTAAGAAAAATATATGAATAGAGTGCAATGACGTAATTTTTTGGTGCATTATTTCCGGCATAATATGATACAAGATGTCACTTTGTTTTTTATTCCTAAGCAGGGCTTTTAACTGAAGGTGCCACAAGATTATTTTGTACTCAAATTAATAGAATTTATTGTGCAGAGTTTGCTCAGGTTCTCCTGACACGAATATTTGAAGTCTGGAACGCTGTTAGGTACATTTTTAATGCGAATAGTTGTTTCCATATTTGTTAGCAATGAAGGCATAAATCGATGGACGGTATGATCAGGGGGAAGCACGTGTTGTTGTGATTTGATTTGTTTTATCTGAGCTGTCAGTATCTCCAGTATGAATTCGTGAAATGCGTTCCTTGTTAGTGTGGTGAGTTTTTTCAGGAGGAGCTGGTGAAGGTGAGCAGAAACTTCGCGAGGAAGAAGACTTCCAGCAGAGACAAGAGGTGAGCAATTTGTGGCGAACCTTCATTGCTTCTATCAGTCAGAGAGTTCTAAGCTTATGGGTGTATTTAAGGTGAAATCCGACAATGTTTTGCCAGCCTACTGTGAACCGCCAAATCCTTGTCCGATCGGATACGTTGCGGCTGATGGCTGCTTAGAGGAATTTGAAAATACGTGGGTATTAAACTATTTCTTAAAGACCGGGTTAATTAAGAAGAGCATTTTGTAAAGGGTAGCTATAACGAGAAAAACTTAGTTATAGATGAATAGCAAAGAAAAAAGTCGGAGATTTTAAGCGGAGGTAGTTTCTTTTGTCAAGTAATTTAGATATCAGTGGGACTATCACTTAAGTTCAGTTTTATCTTACATGAAATTCTACCTCTGGTTGGTGAAACTTTTTGAGAGCGAATACATGTTTACGCATGTTTCCTAGTCGTCATACTCAGAATGCTAAGATAAGTGGGAGATGAAAAACCTAGTAGACCTCCATATGAAGGTAGTTCGTGGCAAAATCTGCAGACCAGAATCGTGAGAGAAATAAAAACATGCAAGAATTAGATAAAATGTTGTGATATCGGAAGCCAATCCCGTAAAACACTAGATATGCCAGGAAATGCAAAGGTGAAAAGAAAATAAGTTGTAAAGAAAGTGACCCTCACTGTGAAGAAAGGGAAAGCTTTGAGTTTACCTAAGTAATAATACTTGAATGGCTTACCTTTATGAAAATAGTATGAACCTAGAAAAATTTCGACTTTACTTTGCCGGTTGGAAAGATTTCCTTTTTCTGGAGTCTCATGATAGAGTTTTTCCACATTCAAACTATTGTGGTGTAAAGGAAGAGCTTCTACCTTGCCAATAGGTCGCCAATAGAACAGCAATGGTTCACTTAACGTCCGAGAACTTAGCTAGGCTACAATTTGGGCATGCAGAAAATATTCCAGGCCCAACACACCCTCTTTCTGAGACAATCCCTTGATGTGCACCGAAGTTTGAACAAGCACAAACACTTCCGTGTGGGAAGAGTGATGCACTAAGGATTTGTGTCGTCATTAGCTGGCTAGTATGCAAACAATCAATAATCACCTAACTAATTACAAAATTCGTTTCCATGAGTCATTCTGGACTAGCGTAACTTCTGACAAAGATCAGAAGTTTCCGTAAAGGTATCCTATGACATCCTTCCTGCACTGTTCTCAGGCTAGGTGTCGTATTGCATTCGCGGATTTTGTGTATCAGAAAACAATTTGCTAACCTTGACTAAGTTCTGTCTACTATATGAACTTTTATGTTTGTTCAGTTTACTATTATATGAAGATATAACGACAGGATTCCTTCACACCGTCCATGAGCTATGGGTCATTTATAACCTAAACACTAAAGCAGAGTGACTTACTAATGTAGGAAACCCAGAGAGATGAGAGGATTGGTTTGCTCGATAGGGGTTCGAATCAGGGATCTGACGTTTACTGTACAGCACCTGTAACTAATTCGCTTAATGCGAAAAATGCGCTTCTGAGTTCTTAAATTACACCAATATATCTTCTAGTAGAGTTTTCGAAGTAATTGAAATGCCATCGTCATGAATTACTTCGTGATCATTAACAGTGATGTTATTATTCGCTCAAGTAAAAGAATAAAGCTCTCAGCGTCGATCAATCCCTGAGAGATGAGCCGTGCATTCAACTTCATTAAGTATCGTTGGAGGTGATTGAATCCATACCTCGCTTTTACAATGACTCGTGGTGGCCTACCGATGTGTCGAGCCGGTGCTCCTATCTTCCCAGACAAGTCTGGTACCAATTTGCCGAACCTGGAGAGAAGGAAGCCTTGGTGAGCCACGGGTGCCGGGATCGATTCTACGTGCGTGTTGCAGGGCGCCTCCAACCACTGCGCCACACTCGCTCAAATAAAAGTTCTAATATGTAATGCTGAGATATTTGCAAAACTCCGGACCGCAGGTATATGCGGTAGGGAACGAACGCGTGCTATTGTCGTTACCGGGGAGTAGCGCACTTCATCACCACACCATCCGGTTCCTTCGCTTTTCCTGTCTCTCAGCTAGTTCCATTGATCTTTTGCCATCAGCAATCACCCGTTAACGGGATTGATCTGAGGAGCCCAAATCGGCATTGAACCCAGTTAAGATGAGGCTTAGTTATAATCGCAATCTTAACCCTTTTATTTACTGCCTTTTTATTTTTAATGGCAGGGTATGTTGCGAAATATAACTCGTATATAATGGTGAGATATTTGCAAAACTCCGGACCGCAGGTGTATGCGGTGGGGAACGAACGAACGAGCGCTATTGTCCTTACCGGGTAGTAGCGCAATTCACCACCACACCATCCGGGTCCTTCGCTTTGCCTGTCTCTCAGCTAGTTCTATTGCTAGTTTTATTCGAGTTTTGCAAATATCTCAGCATTATATACGAGTTATATTTCGCAACATACCCTGCCATTAAAAAGAAGAAGGTAGTAAATAAAAGAGTTAAAAAAGTTCTAATTTTTTTTGTTGCGCCGGTCTAGTTCCAAAATGAGATCGAAAAACGTATGAAAGCAATTTCTTAACAATTCTGAGTCCTTAAAAGTTGAGAACATTATCATCTTATAGAAAAGACTTTGCTCTATCTCCAGGAATAAAAATAGCTCTTCATGAGTTTTACCAGATTTGGTACTTAATACTTGAATGGCCCGCCTTCACTGGGGTGCGGGCTCCAGCATAATCTCCATTTTTCGAAGATTTGCTGATTAAGCTACTGTAGTTCACTGGAATCCCGAGGTCAACTTGGCCAAAGTCTGCCCCAGGTCTTCACCACAGGTAGTCGCAGCCCTTGTGGATAAGAGGTAGATTTGCCACTATGCGAATTTGATACCAGGACGGTGATGGGTGACTGGTATTGGTTTACTCTTAGCTGGGCTTTCTGATGAAAACACCGGCCTCCTTCCCCGCTTGCAAGACACTGCCAGAGATGAATTCACCGCTCTACATCGCAGTCCGACACCCAGGAACACCTCCTAGCCACGATGAAGCGGTAAACCGTTGAGCGGTTTATCAGACTAATAATTCAAAAGACCGACTTTCTATAAACTTCGGCATAAATTGTTGATATATCTATTTATATGTCCTTATGAACTGATCTCGTTGAGCTAATGGTATAAGCTTCCATTTCCGTTGTTGTTGCTGCTGGTGTCGTCTCGTTGTTGTTAGTGTTGCTGGTCGATGGCCGACGTTTCGGCGATTTTGCCTTGTACGGCTTTGAGGAAAGCGAAATCGCCGAAACGTCAGTCAGCCATCAACCAGTAACACCACCACCACCACCACGAGCAACAACAGCGAAAAGTTGTACTAACCTCTCATCAGCTCAACAAGATCGTATCATTAGAACATCCAACTAGATATTACCAGACCTTTGAAATGGTTTAGAATTAAAATTTTCCAGGAAGTGCTAACGAGATTTAAATTTTTTAAAGCTATAGGCGAAATGTAGGCATAGATAAATATCAGCAACAGATTTTGAGGTATCATCATGTTCTAATGGACGAAATACCACATGTTAATTTGCTTCCATTTTCAAAATACGAGTGTAAATGGAAACGTATAAGAAATGCGTCTGCTGAGCTCCAGATGAGACTTTCATCATGCTGGAACAAGAGGGCCCACCCTGAATCTGAGGATTTGTAGATTCTAATGCTTTCTCTCGCAGTTAATAAATTTCACTCTGAGCTATTGGTTTAAAGTTAAGAGCTGCCGTTACATTCGCATTGTGTGGATGGAAATCAACTCAAGTGGGTCCCTAGGTGTTAACGCATAGCGCCAAAAATGTACTGAGTCCAACTTAGTGAAAATTTGACAAAAATTGTTAATTGACACTTCCAACTTCAAAATAGTGCCTCAGCTCATGCTGAATTTTATCAATTGAAATAAAGGCCACTAGAATCTACAGACCAGTGAGATACAATTTCTTTTACTCATCACGATTAAATGCTAACTTTCTGAAATCCATGAAACATATTATCCCCTCTTTATTTGCGTCACCCCCTAACGGATTACCGCCTCATCGTCGCTGGGAGGTGTTCCTGGGTGTGGGATTGCGATGTACAGCGGAGAGATTCGTCTCCTCGGCAGGGTCTCGCAATCTGAGAAGTCCGGCCTTTCCATCAGGAAGCCTAAGAGTAGACCAATGCCAAGATCCACCGCCGTCCTAGTATCAAAGTCGCATGGTTGCAAATCTCCATCTGATCCACAAGGGTTGCGACTGCCTGTGGTGGTGAAGATCTGGGGCAGACTTTGGCCAGGCTGACCTCGGGATTCCAGGAAACCACAATGATTTAACTAGAAAATCTCCAAGAAATGGATATTATGCTGGGGCCTGCACAACCAGTGAGAACGGGCTGTTCAAGTACCAAGTATTTACGTCGAAGCACTTGTCTCGCCACTAAAGCAGTTGAAAATGTTTTGGTTCTTTCATCAGCTCACAATGGTTTTACCAACGCATCGTTTTCCTTTGCAGGTATCACATTTTAGTTGTTCCTTTAAAAATGTGAATTCCATTTTCAGTTTTCGAGGATTTTAATATAAAATATTTAGCACCCTGCCTTAAAAATTATAGATTCATACAAGGTGTTAGGATAAAGCTTCTACATTTGGGTATTTGTCAATTACTCATGAAGGTCGAGTAATTACCGTCAGTTCTCGAAAAATCAGATAGGGGCGTTGTATGCTAAAATCCTAATTACAGGTCCTTAAACGCAAGAAGCAGTAGTTGGATAGAGAGAGTAGTTTTTCCGAACTGTTCGGCTGGCAGTACTCTCCTTAATTTTCTGATTTCAGCGCTGAGTTTTCGCGAAACTATCAAGCCCAGCAGCACTGCATTTGTGACCAGGAGCACATGTTCAAGTGGGTAACAAATGACAACCGAAAACGTTCCTTACTTTCTTAACCCTTTTATTTACTGCCTTTCTTTTAATGGCAGGGTTGTTGCGAAATATAACTCGTATATAATGCTGAGATATTTGCAAAACTCCAGACCGCAGGTGTATGTGGTGGGGAACGAACCCGTGCTGTTGTCCGTACCGGGGAGCAGCGCACTTCACCACCACACCATCCGGGTCCCTCGCTTTGCCTGTCTCTCAGTTAGTTCTATTCCGAAGGATCCGGATGGTGTGGCGGTGAAGTGCGCTGCTCCCCGGTAAGGACAACAGCGCGAGTTCGTTCCCCACGACGTACACCTGCAGTGCGGAGTTTTGCAAATATCTCAGCATTATATACGAGTTCCTTACTTTTTCTGGATTGAAAATTTTATCCTGTTTTGAAGCTCTTGTTGTCATTTTTTAACTTTGTAGGATTTTGTAAAGCTACTATTTTATAGGTTTCCAATTTGTAGAATTATGGAATGGTTCTAATGTTTGAAAATCCGCAACGAAACTAATACTTGACAAATAAATTATAGCAATCCGGACTTCTTTCTAGTTGCGCCGGGAAGGAGGCGGCTGAACTTGGAGCGTCTCTCCAAGAGCTTCTGGACGAGCCAACATTCCATCGCAACATGATCGCGAAGAAGTTTCACGAGAAGAGAAGCGCAGACGAGGTGTTCCTTCTATTTACTTTAAAGGCGACGAAGTCCAGAACGCTGATGTTGTCAAATTGGCAAGAAATCCCCATGACCGACTTTCTTTTAACCTCGGCATTGATTGATAATTCGATGTTTTTCTTCAAAAAGCAGAACGAGGTTGTTATTATAGGACTTATTAGGATACAATAGCTGATGTTTCGGCGGTTTCGTCTTCCTGGAAAGGTCAAATTGATATGCGATCTGCTCAGCCAAACACTTTCATAACCCCAGCAGATAAAACTTAACAAATAAATTTATATTCGCATAAGAAACAGCTTCATTCAAACACCTACCGTTTATTTGTTGTAGGTATTTAAGTCGGTTGGTGGATAGCAGCCGCACAGAGTAATACATGGGCGATAACTGTGTCTGTGTCAGGTCATTGGATTAGCCCGAGGTATGGCGCCAGGTCACGCGTGGTGACAAGACACTCCTCCTTGCGGTTCATTTTTGAATGCTTGGAATTGATTCAAAACGCTTCAAGAGTTTTACGCGCTGATGTTTTTGATTCGTGCGTGAGGATAGTGACGCCTACTCAAAATCTTCTCCGTTTTGTTCCTGCATCCTATGCCGTCTTTACCGTTAGGACAAATTATGCAGTTTCTCGTTATACATAGACGGTCATGTAGGCGGTTGCGAACCAGCTGGCGTCTTAGAGTCTCCAATGGTATTTCTATCACTCTTACGGAATTCTCTAGACCGCCTCTTATTAAGCAACGTTTTATAGTTGCACTTATTTCGTTTGAAATAAATGGCAAGTGGAATAGAGCCTTGTTTTTGCTACAACTATCGATCTGGGGCGTGGGTTTTCCTCTATGCCTATACCAAGAAGCTACAGTTTCGTAACCATTTGAAATGGCTATTTAGCGTGCCAGTTTCGAGGATTCTTCCCACCGATCTCTACTTGTGCACACGCTGGCAGCAGTTCGAAACGTATTTCTTAAAAACGCCATTTTGGTGTGTGAGGGATGAGAGGAGAAGTAATGAACCACTATAGTCTTACTGCTTGCCTTTCGATACCATTTTGTGTTGTAGCCGTTTTCGGATTGTTTGATTTGAACGTTTGGAAATGGAAGCCAGTTTTCTTTCGGTTTCTCACGGGTCAGTTTTATGTACTCTGACTGTTCGTTCAATAACTCGAAGCATTTGTCCATCTCCTCATGTGTGGAGCAGATGACAAAACAATCATCTATATACCTACACTGGAGTAACGGCCTGAGATCGATTACTGGTGCTTCCACTTTAGACATAAAGGCAACGGCAAGGGTTGGTGCCAGTCGCTGTCCCATTGCCAACCCTCTAATTTGGGCGTAATATTTCCCAGACTATCTGAAGATCGAGCAGTTTAAACAGACCTTTAGGAGGACCATAAGCTGCCGAATCGAAAAGCCATACATGTTAATTGCTCCTTCGTGTTGCTCAAGAAGCTCGCGGATGGTTTGCATTGCGGAGTAGTTCTACACGTTAGTGTAAAGGGCGGTAACGTCGAACGACTCCATAACGTACGCACTTTTCGGACGTGCGTTGCGCAGACGGTCTAGGAACAGTTTGGTGTTCGTGAGATGGGCTGGCATGTGCTTCAGCAACTGGTTGAGGATTAGATTTATAAACCAAGCGATTCTATCTGTAGGCCCGTCTACACAACTGATAATGGGTCTAACCTTAAAGGTGGAGTGGTCGGCAGATACCAGATCATGAGTTGCATGAGTTCGGGTGCACTCTATCTGATTTCTTATAAAAGATGCGGAGACGAATACGTTGGCGAAACGGGCAGACCGTTCTGCTTCCGCATAAAAGAACACCTAGTCGGTAAATCTAAATTGAAACCAAACACTCCACTAGGCGCGCATTGGATGCAGGAACACAACGGAGAAGATTTTGAAGTAGGCGTCATTATCCTCACGCACGAATCAAAAACATCAGGGCGTAAAACTCTTGAAGCGTTTTGAATCAATTCTAAGCATTCGAAAATGAACCGCAAGGAGGAGTGTCTTGTCATCACGCGTGACCTGGCGCCATACTTCGGGCTAATCCAATGGCCTGACACAGACACAATTATCGCCCATGTGTTACTCTGTGCGGCAACTATCCACCAACTAACTTAAATACTTACGACAAATAAACGGTAGGTGTTTGAATGAAGCTGTTTCTTTTGCGAATATAAATTTATTTGTTAAGTTTTATCTGCTGGGGTTATGAAAGTGTTTGGCTGAGCAGATCGCATCTCAATTTGACCTTTCCAGGAAGACGAAACCGCCGAAACATCAGCTATTGTGTCCTAATAAATCCTATAATAACAACCTCGTGTCTGCTTTTTGAAGAAAAACATCAAATTGACAAGAAAGTGTTAGACTATACGTCAGTGCTACTGCCGAAAAATCTAATCCCAAGTTTAAGTTATGGTTTTCGCAAAAATCCATCAACCGTGCAAAGCGTCAGTCCTTACCTTCAACGTTCTGACGTACCAGTAGTTTCTATGTTTTAGTTAGGTCTATTCTTGCAAAGTCATGCAAATCCGTCAGAATAATAATTAAGAAGAAGGGTGTAGTTGTACCGTTCAGCTGTCGCTGCTGTTTAATGGGTTATTCTTTTTTTATTATCAGCTAATACACTTTTAACGGCACTTTATCTAGCTGCCTCCACGCCGACGTAAGCGCTCTGTCCATCATCCCGTTAGTCATCACAACAGAAATCCTTACCTTCAGGGCGAGATTCTGAAGACGGTATCAAAGAAGGACGGCAAGAACGCATGGTAAACTCTCTAGCCATTCATTCCTCCATTCTGTAGTTGATCTGCTTTAATCCGGTGATCTCATGCGAGTTCTGTCCATCTCCTGTAAAATGTTTGGTGCGTGTAGAAGAGTTTTATAATGTGTTTGATAATAATCAGTAAAGACTTGTTAACAGTTCGTTCTGGAAGATTTGATGTGCTGCATTGGAAAGGGTAAGATGAATTGAACAATCCATAAAACATTTGCAGCAATCACTTGTCACGTAGCTTAAAATAACATGTACCCTCTATTGATAGTGTCTAAGAAATAGTCCGAACAGGTAGAAATTGTGGAATAAGCAGATTTTAAAGCATACTATGAGAGCTCCTCTTTTTCCCCTATCTGTTGAATCTCAGGCGACTATCCTGCCGGAAACAGTTCTTACTAGTGCTTTAGCATACACATAATCACTTGAACATATTTTTGAAGACACTTCGATCTAACTTCTGTCCTAATAATCAATATGTGATTGCACTTACGAACTGTCCTTGCTGAGCTAACGTGAGATGACTATGACTTCTTGTTGAAACGTTTCGGTGACTTCTCCTTCTTCAGAGCCATGTAAATCTGTATGTGGCTCACACACGATGAACAATGCGAACCACATTCAGATGCTCTTGTTCACTGTGGAAGAGAACGGCTCTGAATAAAGCGAAATCGCAAAAACGTCACCTATCATATTTCAAGAGTAAGCGGTGGGAATCTCGCGCTGGCTTAGTGAGGGCAATTCGTAAGATATGAATTAATTATTAGTTCCGAGATTTACTGAGTGTTGATGCTTTGAATTGAACATGAGTGTGCTATAAATTTTTTCTATTTTTTCTAACGTCTCAATAATTTCAACATGGCGGCTCCATGGAATGTACTTACGTTTGCGATGCTTTACTTTATACTTTAACTTTAATTTACGGTCTATTCTTTTTTCAAACAGGGTTGTGGTTTAGTTCAACTAATGCTGTGTCATGGAAAAGGAATAGGCAGTAAATAATAGTTAAAATATTGCGGTTTGGACTTCAGCTTCATCGCTGATGGCACCATTAGGGTGAAAAAATCGTTGAGCGAAAACGAAGGCCTCGGTTGGCACAGCGGATGCCAACTAAGCACCGAGAAAGTGTTGTCTCGGGTCCTAGGCGCTTCTGACGTTCCGAGTTTTGTTCATATCTCAGATTCATGTGGATGTTATTCATGGCAAATTTATTAAACTAATTGGTAGCAGTATTGGTGTTTGCTTAATTTTCAGCCAGATGATCAATTCAAATTGAAGAAGAATGACTGAATCTGGCTACAGAAAAATTTAGAAGGCTCTTAGCTCGTTTCCACTTCATGGAATTTTTTCGCATCGATATTCTAGTTGAAACCTCATTTCACTTTTGTTGAGGGAGTTAACTGCTAAGTACAAATCACATAAGCGCTATAACAGCATAAACAGTTCAGGTTAATGAGGACTGCATGTAAAATTTCCTCAAGTGCGGGTTCTGGAGAAGACGAGAGAACTCCAATACCCCTTTTAGTTTTTTTTAAGCAATATATCTTAAACAAAAGCAGAAATTATTATTCTTCTATGATTGGTTCCCGCAATAGCCGCTGCAGTGCTTAGATGTTCAGTTCACAGAATTCCTTTCTCTCCACGTTTCCTTGTCGAGTAATCATATCCTGCGGATTTGCCTGCAGGTTCTACTGCCACTTGGGTATTTATAATTTTCTTTCCTCAATGAAATAAAAAACACTTTTCCTGGATACCCGAAATTGCCGTACGGAAATTCTGGGTCTTCACCAGAACCATTTACGGGCGTTTTGTACAATGGATTGAAGGCGACTTTGCTGCCCTGAAACTAGGGTTCTTGCAGAACGGTAGCGAATACTGCAATTAGTGGCTCGTGGCTTTCTAATAAAAGCGAACAAATACATTCTTAGTGATCTCATATTCATATATGTTTTTCTCACATATAGCATTGCTTATATAACTCGAAGAGGGAAGAAAACCGTCAAGATGTTTAGCCTTATTGCCGCTGATTGCTGCAACAATTTGTAACCCATAATGTTGAGCCGCTTGTGACACAGTAGTCTGAGGTGCCCTGCGACACACACATGAGATGGATCCCGGCCCCGTGGCCTACCAAGTCTTCCATCCCTCCGGGCTCGGTAAATTAATACCAGACTTGTCTGGGATGGTAGCATCACTGGCTTCATACATCGATAGGCCACCGCAAGTCATTGTAATGGCCAGATATACATTCAATCACCTCCAACGCTGCTTAATGAAGTCGAACCCCTGCATCCCTCAGAAATTGACCGACGCCGAGAGTTTTACCTTCTAGCCTTTCACTGTTGAGTCTTCATCATTTGTTGATAGGCTTACGGATTTTACTGAATAGGCTTCTGTGCATCTCAGTATTTTCTCAGTTAGATCATAAACCCTCTTGTAATGATGGTAAAATTTGGCAACATCGCTGAGAACTCCAATGAAAATTTTGCTGATGAGACGCTCTAACTCTCGAAAACTCGTTAAGAAAATAGTGGGAAGAAGAAATTGTTATTCCGAATAGGAAACATTATCAGGCCCATCATAACCACACTGAGTGCCGGTCTTGCTTTGCAGAACGCATTGTGACACGCGATTTAAAACTGATTCGCTCCGATAATCGGCGGTGTTCTTCACGAGAAAAAGTGCAAACCTAAAGGCTTCCAAAGCCATATCTGTTTAAGAAGGAAGCTAAAAGGATAAAAGGTAGGACGTTCGGCGTGGAATAACAGTTCAATTCAGTCATGGAAAGGACCAGTTATTAGTGCAGCAGGCAAATTTTCGAAAGAATCATGGCAAGAAAGAAATTGTAGCTGAGGCTAGTACTTCGGGCCACTTCATTACTCTTCATTGAAAATTTCTGTATTTAGATTTCCAGTTACAGCTACCATTTCAGGTTGGCAGATCTTCTTTTTCTTTTTTTTTGAAGAAAGGGTCTGATAGGAAGTCCACTTTTTAGATGACTGATTATCTGCAATGTGATGCAAGTCACAGAGAGGGTGAAGAGACAACACTGAACACACACACACACACACACACACACACACACACACACACACACACACACACACACACACACAACTAGTCAACGTCTACGCAGATCGGATTTTGAAAGGGTTACCGAGTTATTGATAAGCGCAAGATATGCTGTAGCAAGCAAAGTTGATCATCATTTATTGCCTCTGCTTGCTTTGTGTACAACGTGGGAAGCTAAAGGCCTTGCACATTTCAACTCTTGAACACATGCATGCAGTAACTAAAATCACTTCACTTTTATGGGCTTGGTCTAGATGGCTTCAACCTGATCAACGCAGCAAAGATGCTTCAACGTGAGAGACAGAATACATGCTTAGTTTAGCCTGCAAGGGACTCACTAACTTCTTCGCTTTGTGCTTTTTGGAACCATTTATTTGATCAAACTACAAGCACTTACTGATGCACCAGCTTAGCGAGAATTCTAGCTTAGACGATGTCGGTTTGAACTAGCCCAGTGCCATTCATGTGAAATTATTTGCTAGGAAACAAAACTTGACCCATCTACTTGCTCCATGACATTTCGAAGAAAATAAATTTATGTACATTCCTCGAGAGATTATAATTTCTTTCCAAGTATCATGGGGATCTTAAAGAGTTTCATAACTCTGTCGTCTGCCGATCGTTACGGTGCTGTTATTGACATTATTCGAATCACTGCCATTACATGCAATCTTATTTGTTTGAGTTTTTGTGTTCTGTTTTTGCATACTTTTTATTCCTTATAACTTTATAATTTTTACTCAGAAGAACAATGGAATGCCACATCTTGAAGAGTGATTCTTTTAAAGGAGCAGTACTTTGTTAGCACTTCCTCTGTAATGCCACTGGTAAATAACCTTTTCGTAAGCAACAACTGAAGCTGACCATTTAGCACAATTTAATCCTTATTCGAAATAAAAACAAGAAAAGGGAGGGTAGCGAAGTGGTGAAAATCCAGTGCAGTGATACACGCGAGGCACTGGTTTGAACTAGCCCAGTGCCGACAAATCCTTTTAGCGCATCGGGGTTGGCAAGGTGCCACTAGGCTTCGTGAACATCTGGAGCTCCACAACACAGCTATCTAAGCATTGCAGGAACTTTGGACTCCACCTCAGTTCAATTATGATTATTACGAAAGCAAAATTTTTAACTGTCAGCGTGCCCTACAAGCTGATATGGAGATTTCCATGGAATACGAATTCGAAAAGATAAATGTAGTAAAAAAAATGTTTTAAAAGCCGAAGAATATGTGAGGTCGGGACGTACACAAAAGAAGAGATAAAAATAAAATAGTTCAATGCCTGTAGACTTTTGTCCCGCAAAGCGAATGAAAATAATAAACCTGACAAGTTCTGTGAGAGAGCAAGCAGCGAGAATTAAAGTATTGGTACAGGTCGCTACATTCGTTGTTTGAGCCTGTATAATGCTTGGGATGAAGGTGTACTGAAAAAAATTTCTAGACTCCATTAATAAAGTTGAGTAGGAGCAGTAGGTACGTGTGTTATTTTGATCCTAACAAAATTAATCTTTCAGAAAAAAGAGTTAGCTTCTTTGAAATTACTAAATTACTTGATCCATAAGCTCTGGTGTTCTAAATGTGAGTAAAACCAGGACGGATAGTGCAGTGGTAATGATTTTGCTCATTACACTAGCGTCTTAAAGTATCCAAGCTGTGGTTCAAGTGTGCACCGGGCCCACCAAGGCTTCTATCCATCTGGGGTCCGGAAATTGGCACTAAACTTGCCGATGAAAGAACATTATCACCTCCTATTACACTCGTGAACACCCCAGTGCGTCTATCTCAACACTCCAAGGAGATATAATTTGTATAATGCTGAGATATTTGCAAAACTCCGGACCGCAGGCGTATGCGGTGGAGAACGAACGCGCCATTGTCCTTTCCGGGGAGTAACGCGTTCACCTCCACACCATGTGTGTCCTTCTAATT